TTATAAATCAAACTCACACTGTAATTGCTTTAGGCAATTAGCAACTATACTGGATCGGAATATCGCATGAAATCTAAACTGTTATATTTATTACAGTTACGAAACTTTATATGTCTGTTATTACCTTTGCTGTACTTGCGTTTTAGAAAATAATTTTTCAACTTGAGTATTTTACTAAAGGTGACATTATGCCCATCCAAAGGTATAAAATGAGTGAACATGTGAAAGTCAAAGTAAGTTTACATTTTGCCATAATTCCTTTCAATTTTATAATTTTCTTATGATTGATAAAAAATTCACATGGTCCAAGAAAATTTCTGTAAATATACTTAGCAAATCCTGTGATAAAGATAATACGGCAACTTGACCACATACATTTTTATACTTGACACCTGCTGTTGTTAAGTATAAAAATCTGGTAACAAAGTGATCCCTCGGAAGCATTAATCACAACAAAATTACAAGAGAATTGCAGACTCGGTTTGATTGAGTCTGTACATGAGGGATAATGAATTCGTGCAACATCCCTCAAAGCCCATATCACGGCTTGAGCGGTACTCAATTCTCAACACTTATTAGTGCTGGCATCAATGATCCCGAAGGACCAGAAAAAATATGACAACATTGAACTTTTTACAGCTGCCACACAGCACTTGACACCTGCTGTTGTGAAGTATAAAAATCTGGAAACAAAGTGATCCCTCGGAAGCATTAATCACAACAAAATTGCAATATAATTGCAGACTCGGTTCGATTGAGGCTGTACATATAAAAACATACCAAGTTGATGTCTGCCCACTTCTTGAAAAATTTAAGACGCAAATAAATGCTGCTGTGTTCTTTTTTTGCTAGAACAATTGCAACAGAATCTAAATTGATGGCAATTTGCAAAAAAACGTAATTATTAACTCACTATTTGAATTTGCTGCAAATGTTGAATTATTAAGGTATCATTTTACAAACATGAAATAGAAACCTTTTTATCACAAAATACGTTTTACTATGCACGATGAGCTGCAAAAATTTTCAACAATTGACTGATATAATGTAATATCAAATTCAATTAATGTTATAACTCCTTGATTGAAGGTAAATGAAGGAATTGCTACATCTTAGGATCTACAATTACTTATGTATATGAAAACAAATTCAAATTCAGTTGTTGTTTAGTTGTTGTTGCTTTTTTTATTTTGTTTTGGTTTTTTCTGTGTTTTTTTTTTGGGGGGGGGGTTGGGGGGTTGGGTTTTTTTTTGTTTTTTTTTGTTTTTTTTTGTTTTTTGTTTTGTGCGCGTATTTGTGCGTGCGTGTGTGTGTGTGTTTGTTTTTTCTGCCAAAATATAAATCAGATCGAACCCGATAATAACGTATGGAACACCCACGCCTCATATCGTGCACGCGTTTTTTTCCACCAATCACTTGCTATTGTCGAAGATACAATTACTAGCCATTTAGATTTTAAAACAGATTTAGATTTACAAATAACCAGTTTTCGGCCTGTTAACAACCGATTTTACCATAAACAACCGACCAATTAAAACTTATCAGAATTAAAATACTTATAAGAATTAAAATATGGGATTTCGTCAAGTTTGATCAATGGTTAATAGGGATTAAATCTGTGATCAATTAATGCAGTCGGCGGCTAGTCCGAGACAAGTCGACGAATCGGTGCTGCACAGTATTATAAAGGTCTTCAGCAGTAGTTTTGCTTCAGGTTCTCTAACAATTTTAACTACTAGCAACCAATGAAATGTTTTAACTGATTGAATACTTGTTCATTACAAAGAAACCACATTTAGAACCATGCACGACAACCGATCAAAGCAGCATGCGAAATTGACATGTAATGACAGACCGTTTGTGTAACTGCACCTTCAACAAGTTTGCGTCTATTCCGCGTCATTATAGTTTCCTCTGCGTCCTTCAATTATTTAGGTTCCCATTTGACTGTTTAATTACAAAATTATTTCGTTTATAGATAGTTATTTATGATAACTAACATATGGCAACCATCAATTTATTTTTGGTTCAAAATGTTGTTTTGGTGCATTATTATGTATATCAATTATTATATAATTCATAACAAAATTAATAACTGAGTTGAAATTACGCTATTTTTATAAAAATAGATTCCAAAGTAGGAAAAGTAATAAATTGTTAGATGTTTTATGACGCGTGACTGCACTCCTCGCAAATTGGTCATGAAGAAATAGAAAACATTCATACGTGTCAACTGGCAAAATTAATGTAAAGTACATTTGTAATTAAAAAAATAATAATTTCAGTGAGAAAAAACTTTACAAACATATAATTATATTTAGGAGGACGGATTAATATGTAATGCAATACAGTCAAACATAAAAAGAAAGCAAATGTTTTACAATTTTCTATTTCAACCCTTCAAAATTAATTACTTCTACAGAAATGTAAAGTTTCAGATTTAAATGTTTCCATAATCCTCCTTAAGAATACCTTTCAATAACTGAAAAATAACGGACTCGTGTTCATTTCTACTCCTGTAGTGCCATTTTTATTTAAAATACCTTATATGACAGAATTACATCTAGATACAGTCTCTATACAGAAATTTGGAGGGTTTTCAATTGCTACAACAAATTGCAAAAGTTTTCAATCATATAACAACTTTCATTGCAAACATTTTATGCCCGGTCAACGCCTGATTCAAGATTCAAGTCTAATTCTGACATTGAAAATTAGTCGGATATGAAAGTGTTTTTGTCATAGGGATATGAAAGTCTTTTTGTCATAATCCGACCATTTATTCGTTGTTCTGACCACAGTGTAACCAGTTTCTTACCACAATCTAAACAGTTTCTGACCACAATCTAACCATGAAGCTGAAGCTTCTGACCACAAACCAACTAGATTCTAACCAAAATTTGATTGTTTCTGCCCGCATCTCATTATTGTTTCAGATTTGACGGACTAAACAGGTTTTCGTGGCAATTTACCTGTTTACTATTACATAATAGTAAAAGAAAATTTCAGTTATCAAATTTTGACAATTTTGACAACCTACATACTCAAGTGTACAAGTGTTATCTCATTGAATAATAACTAAAATCACAAATGGTTATGAGCGTTCCAAAACTTGATGTATTTTATAAAAAGCAACGACAGAAATTTATAATGACTCAAAATATTATATTTTCAATAACCGCTGTCTGTATATGAGCCGCGTCACGACAAAGCCAACATAGTGCGTTTGCGAACAGCATGGATCCAGACCAGCCTGCACATCCGCGCAGTCTGATCAGGATCCATGCTTTTCGCTTACCAACTCTATTACCTTGATTTTTACCTTACAAAATATCACTAACAATAGTATCAATAACCAGGCAAATAATGACCGCTTATGTTGTATTCATTAAATTGAAGTATTATAGAATGTATAAACAATGTTTTGGTTTTAAAAAAATATTTGAAATGTGTTAATAAAGATAAATTTCAAAATGCATGTCAGGCTTAAGATTTATACATTGGTGAATACTTAGGCTTTAGATGAAGTTCTCAACGTTTAGAAATTGAGGTCGGTAGACATCAAGATATGCGTGGAATTGAACGAATCTGTAAAGCTTGTAATACCAATTTAGTTGAATCTGAATATAACTTTTTGTTAACGTGCCCTATATATTCAGAAATAAAAGCAAACTATTTAGGTGATTGTTCATGGCCTAGTAGGGAAACATTATGTCTTGTAAGAGTAAGAATAAGTTATGTAAAACTGCCAAATATTTGTATGAGGCATATCAAATAAGGAATCGATTTGTCGATGCAGACGCTGCTTCTCAATTTGCATAATAAAAATTCATTTCATTATACTGTATGTCTATGACAATGTTTGTAGGTTTTATGTATATCTATTTTTGCAAGCACTGCATTATGTACTGTTTAAATGTTTATGTTGCCATGGCCATATTCTTCACTTCGCAATAATTGTTAAATTGACCAAAGGCATGATATCATGCCGATTTGCTGAATAAACTGAACTGACTAAATTGATATATCCGCAAATAGTTGGTATTTAATTGTCAAATTTTATTGGTTTAATATCAGCAAGTACCGTCTCAGGCGTCCGCCTTAAATTACAATTGACACGCCATAGCGGCGCAGCTCAAATACACCAAAGTGCCTGATACAAAAAGATGGATCTTATCCGTAATTTACCAGAGCTTGGTGTAAAACGCGAAAATATGATACTTAAATTCCACATCATTTGAAAATTGTTGTTTTTTCTTATGTGTTTGTGTGTGTTGTTGTTGTTGTTGTTGCTGTTGGTGGTGGTGGTAGTGGTGGTGGTGCATGCGTGCGTGCGTGTATGTGTTTGGCAGGATTGTTTTTCTTTTCGGGGCAGCATAACGTTGACGTTTTCCTTTGCTTTGGCGCTTGAAAAAAAGACAAATGTGCTGTCATTTGTGGCCTTGTTGCAGAAATCTGCGAAATATTTTAGTATTCTACGCTGATAACGTGGTCAAAACGTACATACTGCCCGTATGTTCATTACTATGTTTGCTTAGATATGTATGCGGTGACAATAATAATTATTCGCTGATATGTTATATTTTTTAATGTAAAGAGGGCATATTACACACAAATATAGTGTTTGTTATATGAAAAACTTATAAAAATATAATTGAATTTATGGCACTATTCTGGATATTTCTTGATCATCCCTGGTAGCCATATACTGTGACTATTTCATTACCACATTTGCCATATTATCTATCAATTTAAAATGTGTTGTGTTTTTTATGAACGTTTCTATTAGAAATTAGCTACACTGTGGAATATATAAAATTAAGTAACTCTGAATTCCTACAAGAAGAAAAAACCTTTTCACATATCTATTTCTCTATCATTCTCTGATCACGATGCTATGTATGGTCTTAAGCCTGTTAGTTTTGTGATATATTTATGCCTATTGTTTCACATTTGTATCTGACTACTCTTAACACTAAATATAAACGCAAGCAATTAAATACAATGTATATCACTTTATTATAATTATAATCATCTTAAACATTTGTTTTGTTATTATAATAGTAATTAATATTCATCAATTCATAAACAATATGTGTACACATAAACACAAAGAAGAAAATTATACCTCCGATCCGTTAAATGTTTGCAGACTCTCAGTGTTGTTGACTATTTCTTAAAGTTTGACAGTCTAGCTACAAGTCAATTTACACAAATAATATGCTTATGTGAATGAATGTACATACTAAAATGTAAAATAAAAACAGGAATGAAAACAAGTACTATTATAATTAAGACAATCCCGCAGAAAGCAAATGCTAAATCATTAAAAAAAACACAAAGAAACACTGGTCAGCTGGTTGTCTCTCAATTATAAATGCAGTCAGTTTACAAGCAAAGCACATATTCCTAAGTAACATCTTAAGATTGTTGTAATGTATGTTTAAATTTTCGCCAAAAATATAAATATGCATGTTCTGATTATGTGCACATATTGAGATATTTGAATAAAACATTCCCATCAAACTTAAAACATTTTTCATGGTCTAATTCTTTACTTAATAAACTTCTTTTTCTATTTAATTGATTTTCTTAACTGCTGGCATGCTATTCCGAGCGGAATTAAAGGTGTTTGTTTTTTACATTTTTTCCTTAGTCCATTCCTGTACTTTTTTCTTTTGAATACGTCAAAACCATTATCATAGTGTGGTTGGATCTCTGTTTCAAGTAATGTATCAGAGTCCCGTCTAATGTCTACCGGATCTTCTATAGTCATTATCCAATTGTCTGAAATTAAAACTGTAAATTATACATAAATGAAATGTAAATAGGATACCAAGGATAGAAAACCAATATTATTATATTCCTCAGCTAGTGTTATCAAGTCTTTGATGATTCTGATTATGTAAAATGTATCTCTTCTTCATTATCATATAAAATACAAAATGTACTAACAATAAACATACCCTCTGGTGTTATATACATTTGATCTGATATCCGAACCGGCAGTGCCATAATTTGCGAAACACTTACTAAAAGTGTTAAAAACGGTAAATTCATTTCTTGCGAAATTTAATATGAGCAAGTAAAAATCCTATTTTTCAACTATTTGAAAGTCATTGCAATATTGCCGATATAAATAAGAAATGTTCGCCTTTCTTTAGCTATTTGCAATCACAACAAATACGAAGCTAACACGTTTCATTTAAGCTCATACAATATTTAAATTACTTTCTATATTTACAAATAAATGTGGTTATTTTTTCCTGATTACATCAAGTTCTTCGATCTGTAAATAATTTAGATGTTGCAGTACCACGTTTCTATTTTCACTTCATACGTAGTTATTGTAGCCAGTCCCTTTCGGTAATGAAAAAAAATCGTTTCACATTACAAGAAAAAAATATTAATGAAACTAAATGCATGCATAAAAACAGGTATACATTAACGGAGAATCAATCATGCAGTACTATACAATACTTTATTTCGCTTCAAAGCTCCCGGCCAATGCAAAACATATATACAAAGAAACAATTTACACAATGTTATAGCATGTGCACAGTGTAAAAACATATAGTATATATATATATATTTAACTGAAAATAGCTTAAGGGCCACTCGCCGTTTTTGTCCGTTTTTTACATGCTTGACTCAGGGCGCAATAAAATACCAGCATAATGCAATGACGACTCTGGTAGTTTTATTATCACAACACAACTATCAAATATCATCACATTATCAAGTGATAATCATGGTACAAGCAATTGTTTCTAAGTACGGAATGTATCAACCGGAACGCGGAATTACCATTTATACATACACTTTGTGCAAGAATAACACTAGTGTCCATTTTTGTGCCCCTAGCAAATGAATTCAATTTTCAACACTTAACATTCTAAAATCAATGATCCCGAAGGACAAGCAAAAATAAAACGCTGAAGTGAAGTACGTGGCAATTTTCTACAACTGTCACGCAGCACTTGATACCTGCTACTATGAACTATAAATATTTGGAAAAGGGGAGATTCCTCGGAAGCAATGAAATCATTAAAATTGCAGACTCAATTTGATACGCCCGGAACACAGTAATTGAAAAGTTTATAAACGGCCACCGACAGACAAGCATGTCATGGTAACCATGACGAAACAGAGCTAAAGTGATCTAAAAACAGTGACCTTTAAAAACGAAATATTCAGATGGCGGGGTAAACATCATTCGTCCTTTGCAATACGTTCTAATCAATTAGGCCTTCACGTAAAAGAATATTTTCGAAAACCTTAAAAAAGATCCAACACATATTCTTCAAAATTTCAAAGAAGGTGTCCCTCCTTGGACTAACATATCACAAAAAGTTAACATTTGTATTTAAATTTCAAACAAATCACCCAATTTCCCAAGGATTTAAGAATATACATGCATTTCAAAAGTCAAAGAAGAACAAGATGTTTTCGAAATTTACATAAACGGTTTAAAGGATGGTTGCAAACTAGTGGCAGCCCTTTTTGAAAATCATTTTCATATGAACTAAGACTACCTGATAATGCATCTACATGAGTATTAACTGCAATTGATCTAGCATTGTCATACATTTCACAACAAAATGGTAAAAATTTGTTAGATTTTATGGGGCTTTTTTTTCAGATTCACTGTCGGTGCTATTATCAATTATAAATCAAAATTCCGATAATTTTATCATTAAGAAATTCTTTTTGCGATTTTATAATATTTTTTATCAACTAAATCAGTTAGAATTGGACATACTAGAGTTACACATTCTTACCTTTCAACAGAAGAAAATGCTCTATTTTGTATAGCTTACAATGATTATTTTACTGTCAATCGTATTTCTTGAAACGCCATGATCTTGCATGATCACATGTTATTGGTAGATATTTTCGAGTAAATTCACTTAGAGAACTTTTTGCCTCGGTTCGATCTAAAACTCTAATCGATTACTTAAAGGAAGTTAACTTGCATTCTACTATTTAACTTACTCAATAGTACCAACTCATTACAGACCACCTTACTATAGTATTCGTCGCAGTAATGTGCCAGTGTCGCCGTTAAACGTAGGCAAACAAACGATTCACTTCCAAGTTATGTGATGGTGTATATCGTACTGACAAATTTGACGCGATTACCATGTTTACCGGCGCCGGGCCTATTACGTTCTCAGCAGAACCGTGGCTGCCATAACAAGTTTAACCGTTTGAAATACTGGTACGGACAAATTGAAACTGGCAATAAGATTTGTTTCAGATAGCATTACATAGTCAAAGTACTTTTTGTCATTTAAGTGATTCCATAAAAAGTTTTTGTTCAGTGCATAACCCTTGTTTACTGAAGGTGATAACTTTCAATTAGATTTCATTACACAAACAATTTTTCTATGCAAAACGATTAAAAAACATTGAAATTACCTAGGTATAAGTTGCTGAAATATATCGTTATAAGATGACATGCAGTCTCGAAAGGTTTGACTTTCATCAGAAAAAGGTTATATTTATTAATTTATATTTTATTTATTTATTTTTCAAATATAAACAAAAATGTCAAATACTGCTATAAGTTTGTCCTTTTTTCCTAACCTAAATAAAACCGGTCGTATGAATAGACCTTCTTGGGCATGAAAACCAAAAATAACCAAGAGAATTGCATTCATCTTTTTATTTTATACCTAATGGATTTAGTGTGTATTCTTTATGAAGTTATATTGTGATTTAGTGTAAAACACGTACAGTTTAAGAATGAAATCATTAATTATTTTTCTGCATGCTTCACTCATGTCTCTTTATAACGCCAGTTCAAAAATGTTTGGTATTTTCAGTCATGAAAGTTCACATTGTTTTGTATATTTGAATCTTACATAGATGCACTGTCTACGTTTAATATATCCATCTATCTTCTTGTTATGTCTATGATTCTTTGTTTTATTTGTACAGTATTTGATTAAAATGTACATTTGAGACATACGTTTCATGTAAAATATGCAGGTTCTTACTTTTCAGATCTTATTTCTGTCGAAATGCTTCAATTGAAAGTGGTTATACATTGCTTTGTCACACACAATATATCTTGCGTTATTTGTGTTCATCAACAATGTAAGAATACACTGTAACAATAATTATCTGCTAATCTTTGCTAGTGCTGTGGTCACATCATGATAATATGTTTATTCTAACACGTTTCACATTATTCTGATAAAAATAGATAGAACAGTTGAGTACATTATATAAGAAATAATTAATACACAACACTACAGGCCTCAAAGCGTTGTGTGCAGTGACCGATCTGCCAAATGGCAGGACACTTCAAGTCCAACTTCGGTCCTTTCAATATTTGGAGCTGACTGAGAGGTCACCATAAATTTATGAGATTCAAATTAATGTGTACTATTTCTTATATTATACCGCACTTCACTGGGAAAAAATGGTAAAAGTACGAGACAATAAAAAAGCACTCATATTGTTTAAAAAAGTATTTGAAGTAAATTGTACTAAAAACTTTTGGAATTCAGATTGTATAATACGCCTTTACGCTCAATGTAGTACAGCATTGTTATTTTTATCAATTCTCTTTTCAAATAAGCATTTAAGTATGGAAATAGGAATGCTTTGTAATTAGTAACTTAGGATCTATCGTCTTTCATGATAATATACCTGCGCCTTTGAACTTAAACCGCGCAATAGTCTATCACAATGCAATCAAAATCTATTTCCTACACATTCTTTAAGATTTGACTCAAAATAATTTTCAAAAATACTAGTCAAATATAGTATTTGTTTTTTTATTTCTGAACAAAATTATCATAACTACCTTACTTTAGTCTTTAGCTTCGTCTCTCTTTTTTGAGTTTTTATTTAATGTATGAATGTATTATAACTGCATTTAATGTATGAATGTATTATAATTGCATTTCTTACTGAGATTATAAATTGTGTTGTACAATTATGTGTATAGTTGAGTCATAACCGTATGAATTCCTATGTTTTTTCATCAGGAACATATAAATGTGTAAAAATAAGACTAAATCATTATTTATGTTATTAACGCATTGTTTATGTGTTGTGTCGGTTGCAATGAAGTTACATCCAAATTATTCAGTAGTTTACCTTTTTTTGTTTGATTGGTTTTTAATTTTAAAGAATAACAAAGCAAAAAGCAATCTATTTTTTTCTATTTTTTAAGCGGTCGCATACATTGACCTTCTCGAACAGGAAATAAATTAACACTAGTAGCTAGAAAAGAAATTGTATATCGTTTTTTTAAATAAAGTCATATAGCGATAACATATAAAACTCGTACAAGAATGAAGCAAAACTAAATGAATTAATTTTTCATTTTGTACTTAATATATATCTTAAACATTATCGTTCATAATTGTAAGTTATTTGCTGTTCTCTTCTGTTACGATGGTGATATATACGGGTTTATATATTTGATTAGATGGGTATGTTGTCTATGACAGAGATATCAATCAATCTCCTCTTTTGAAGAAGGATTAATGTATGACATTTAAATCGTTTAAAATGGTTAAAATAGGGAAGTTGTTTTCAAAGATTCTTGGTTTTATTTGTACAATATTTGATTATAATGCACACTTGAGACATACGTTTAATGTGAAATATACAGGCTATTACTTTCCGATCTTAAATAAGGTTAGGTATTCCCATTGGAGACTTCAACTGTGATGTCAAACCCCTATATTAAAGAGAACACGTGATGTTTCTGTGGAAATGATTCCATTGAAAATGGTTATAAATTGTTTTCACAAACACTGTATATCTTGCGATATTCGTGTGTTTATCAACAATGTTAAAATACATAATAACACTAGGTATCTTCGGATCATTGCAAGTGCTGTTTGCTTTCCCTGCTAACATTATATTGTTTGACTCTATCCCTGAAGGTAAGATATTTGTTATCACATATATGTTGTAATATTCATTCATTTTCTTCATCTTTCGGAATGTATTCGTTCTTTCAGAATTTTCTTAATATTGAAGCTGCACATGTATTTTTCTTACATCTGATTTTTTGTTATATTGTACATTTTCAAGTTTGTCACCTTTAAAATGTTAATGATTATATGATATCAAAAAGCGTACGCTTGTTGCTTGCAACAGCGCGACGTCATATATTACGTGATGTGGCTACATTTTATGTTAAACATTGTTTAAGATTTGGTTCAAGATTATTAACAAAGCAGTCAAATATTGCAAATGTTTACTAAAAAGCGGTCCACCAGTGTAGGTCGGTAATAA